CGACTTTGCTAAGCTACGAAGCCGCACCGCTTGATGGATTGTCGGAGCATTACGGCTATCGTAGGCGGAGCCTCGCGGAGTGATACGTACTGTGCTTCAACATAATGTTACCGTATTGTGTGTGTATACGCTCTTTTTAAGTTCTGTGGATACTCTACATCATAGGTGTCAAACTCTGGCCCGCAGCCTAATTACATTTGGCCCGCGAAGCCATACCAAATTACTATTAGAGCTGGCCTACTGGTATTATACAGCTAATATATACATTGTTTAGTATTGAGCTTTGCTTGTTCCACATTCAGTTTTTCAGCAAAACTTGTTTGAGTCCATAAGAAGAGATTCATTCTTAAATCTGGAGGAAGATATTTTTCAATAAATATTAATGTTAGCCCGCGACCTTGTTCTAGTTTTGAATTTTGGCCCACTGTGTATTTGAGTTTGACACCCCTGCTCTACATGGTTATGCTGAGGATATGTCGGCCAATTTCCACTGGAAATGCCTTTTGGTTAAACTGTCAGCAAAGAATTTGCATTTGCACTGTTAAATTTTTATATAGAATAGAATAGAATAGAATAGCCTTTATTGTCATTGTACAGAGTACAACCAAATTGGAGTGCCACTCCCTTGGTGCAAGATTCAATAATAAATATAAATGTAAAATATAAAAAGTACAATAAAACAATCGTAAGTACTCAAACAATAGTAAGTACGATAGCAGCATTAATATAATGACAGTATGAATAGCAGCATAATATAATGGCAGTGACGGTATGGTATAGCTAAGCAGGTTCAATTGTTTTTGTGCTTATTTACTACGGTGATAGCTCTGGGAAAGAATCTGTTTGTCCTCCATCCATCCATCCATCCATCGTCATCCGCTTTGTCCGGGGTCGGGTCGCAGGGGCAGCAGCCTAAGCTGTTTGTCCTATATAACTATATAACCTATATAACTTTAATGCACATAAAAACAGCTGCTTGTTTAAGTGAAAATACAGTGATGGTTTTTTTTTTGCACAATAAAGTTGTGGAGTTGTAAAGTATTTTGTCTAATGCCAATTATATCGTCAGTTATATCGTTATCGCAAATTTTCAAATGTATATCGTGATAAATGACCTCACTGAATAATGCATACATTAGAAAATGGCCATAATCTGCCAAAGGGTGTACGGGCTGTTTTTCACCAGATGAATGACTAATGTTTCCAGTTTACACTGACTTCCTTCCACTGAAGCAGTTACTAACCACACTCTGTGTGCATTTACACAGAGGGGACAGTAAAGAAAACCACAATTTCTCTTCTTTAAAAAACAGGAAGAAAATACATAAGGAAAAAACATATATATTATTAGCATATTATGTTCAGTGAAAGTAGAATAGTTGTAAGGAAACTCTCTCCCAATGGGCCCCCAATAAGAAGAATAATAACATGCATGTGGGAGGTATGAGAAGAGATCTTTCTGTGGTTTTCTGTGAAACATAAAAAACTTTGGCAGGAAATAGTCAAACAGAAAAAGGTAAAGCTCTTGGCATGTGGTAGCATCATTTTATGAAAAACGATTTAAGACAAACTGTTCAGTTCAGCGTCTTTTTCTTTTTCTCTTTTGAAGAAGCAAAGATCTGCTATTCCACACTGAAGGTTGTTTGCTGAAGAAAAGCGTGGACTTTACCTCTGCATTACCTCCACCGTGAAGACAGTCGCTCAGAGATGTCATCTCATGCTCGTGTGATGTTCCTAGTTGACACATGTGTCTGCCTTCCTGTGACTATTCTTCTCCTCGTGCTTTCATGTCGTGCTGTAAGTAAAAAATAACATTACTGTCTGTTTGTCGTCTGTCCGTTTGCTTGACAGCCTATAGAAATGCAGTTAGTTTGTCGATCACACCACCCTGCAGCTTTTAGGCATAAAACATTTCTGTTTGTGTGTGTGTGTGTGTGTGTGTGTGTGTGTGTGTGAGAGAGCCGAAATCACAATAGCAGTCACCTCAAAGCACTTTGTATTTGTAAGGTGAAATTGATCATGGGAATCCCCCAGCAGCTTACACCTAACTAAGGGAGGATTCAGGGTCACCTGGTCCAGCCCTAACTATATGCTTTAGCAAAAAGGAAAGTTTGAAGCCTAATCTTAAAAGTAGAGATAGTGTCTGTCTCCTGAATCCAAACTGGAAGCTGGTTCCACAGAAGAGGGGCCTGAAAACTGAAGGCTCTGCCTCCCATTCTACTTTTAAATACTCTAGGAACAACAAGTAGGCCTGCAGAGCGAGAGCCAAGTGCTCTAATAGGGTGATATGGTACTACAAGGTCATTAAGATAAGATGGGGCCTGATTATTTAAGACCTTGTATGTGAGGAGCAGGATTTTGAATTCTGGATTTAACAGGAAGCCAACAGGATATTTCTAATTTTAGAGATGTTGTGCAAATGAAATGAAGCAGTCCTGCATATTTGTTTAACATCTGCTCTCAGCCTGCAGGCTTTCTTGTGGGCGGCCATTTAAAAGTCAAATGGGAGGCAGAGCCTGTAAAAAAAATTGTCAAAGTCTGGTTCCTTGGAAACCAAATATATCATGTGTGGCTCAAACGTTTTGCAGAGTCCTGCACCTCTCTGTTTTTAGTGTTTAGCGAACCGAGCACATCATCACATCATGTTTTCTTGTAGAGATCTTGAGACGACGTGTCATGCTTATTACTGCTTTAATGTGACTTTCATACTTCCTGCAGATAAAACGCGGGCAGGTTCCTGCCATCTACTACACAAACCTCCTCATCAGCACTCTCCTCCAGCTGTTCACAATGATTGCTTTGGTGGCAAACTCAGACCAGCTTCAGTACAACTCCTCCTCCGTTTCTTGTTATGCCTTCAGTATGATGGCTAATCTTGGCTTCAAAATATGCATTTCTCTAGAAGGGTACGTGTCTTTCTTTGTACTTCCATTCTATTATTCAGTGAAACATCCTTATGGCCAGATATATGAACTTCTGTACTCTAATAATGATATTATCTCTTTGTATTGTGTTGCAGATCTTTTATCATCGTCTTCAGACAGTTGGACAGCATCAGACAAACTAAGATTTCTGTGCTGGCTTGCGCTGTGATCTGGGTCATTTGCATTATTACCATCTCCTTTGCTGCAGACAAAGAATATATTGTTTGTATTCTGGTCATACTCCTTGCTCCACTGTACATCCTCTGCTTAGCAGGGACCCTCAAATGTCTGCCTGCTGCCACCTCAGTGCCTTTTAAGGAAAAACAAAGAATTGTGGGAGCAGTAGTTCTACTGTTCCTTAACTACTTCGTGATGATCTTGCCAATGATCATTTTGATTTTACAATACAGATCTAACATGGGAGAGTCACATTCCATAGATGGTATTGTGACCTTATTTCTGCTCAGTCCTTTTGTGGACTTGATTCTTTTCTTTTTCATGTGTGACTGGTTCACTGACAAGCTGGTGGCACCTTTGTTCTGCTGCATCAAGGTTGACAGCACCCCATCAACAACAGTGTGACCGACGGTAGGACAGACAGGTGGCTTGATTTAGGCAGAGAGAAGAAGAAGCAAAATACGATGAAAATGCAGGAAAAGGAAAAAAAATTGGTATGCAAACAAAACAATTTATAAATGTTGTGCAAGTGAACGTCGGCTGATGTGTCAAATTGAAAGTAATTGGAAGCATTGTTTTGTTCAGTAATGATGCTGTCATTAAAAATGTGGAATTTTTCCTGAAATCACCAATAAAACCCCCGGCCAGCATTTTCATGACTCATTTCTGTGTAATATATGAAGGCACCACAGAATGGTGTCACAGAGTGTTAGTGGACTGAACTAGCACAACTGCTGCTTGTCTGAGCTCCATGAAATCGAACAAAATCATCAACTCTGGTGTTTGAGAACTCAGTAACACTTTATAGCATGACCCGCGAATAAGGCGCAAGTACCCTGTACTTATGTGCATTTTGCATTGTGATTTTCATCAGTCAGTTTAAATATCAACAAATCCATTTCATCCTCTTGTGCCTGACAGAGCTGTGATGTGCCATTTTTGCCATCTGGCTTCAAAAAGGCTAAACTTGATTTGTGTAGTGCACATGTGTCAAACTCAAGGCCCGCGGGCCATATCCGGCCCGGCGAACATTTATATCCGGCCCGCGCGATCATTTTATATAGATTTATTATTATTGTTATGCATGTCCCGGCGATATGAGGTGCTAATAACACACAAACTACAGATCCCATAATGCAGCACTGCAGCCTCCTTGCCGAACGCTAGCTAGCTGTGAACATTCCCGTGTCAATCAAGTCAAACTTCTGTTAGCTAGTCCCTCACAATGGCAAAGAGAAAAGTTGATTCTCAAAACAGACTTTCAGCACGGCGGCGGGAGACTGAATATATGTTTACAAACATTGCTGGTAAACCCGTATCTTATTTGTGGAGCTAATGTATACGGTGGACCTGAGAGGCCAAACGGACTGCAACTTCAGAAAACACCTGCAAAAAGAAAAACGCTGCAAAAAGAAAAACGCTGCAAAAAGAAAAATGCTGCAAAAGCACACAAAACACAACGGAAATGTTTCTGGGGAGACAATAACCTGACGAACCAGTTGCACGAATCAAAACATATCTGTAGTATTAATAGAATCATATGATCACAACACATTTACCTCTCCTCCACTTATTTGAAGTGTCTCCCAGTCCCAGCACACGGGACTGGGAGCGCATGTCCAAGATTCACAGAATTTACAGAAAATGTTACATTTTTGTGATTTATATCGTAATTGGGACGATAGAATTCTTATATTGGGATATGAGATTTTGGTCATATCGCACAGCCCTAGTCCCGGGGCAGACCCAGGACACGCTGGAGAGATTATATCTCTCGGCTGGCCTGTGAACGCCTTGGTGTTTACACGGATAAGCTGGAAGAGCTGGCTGGGGAGAGGGAGGTCTGGGTTTCTCTGCTTGGGCTGCTGCCCCTGCAACCCGTCCCGGATAAACAGAAGAAAATGGATGGATGGATTTTGTAGGTAGAACTGCTTCAATCAGAGACTATTGGTCTCAGACCAGATCATCCATCCAAACCACCAAGTGAGTCCAGTGAATGGGGTTGGGTATAGAAACAGTTTGACTTAGTTTTCTTCCAATTGGAGCTTTAGTGCATGGCCCTAAGGGCCGGCTGGACATCCTAGGCCTTCCTTCATTCTCCTGTTTAGCTGCTCAGCTGTTCCTGCCGCCACTTTTATCAGATCTTGTCACCACTAACTCTCAGTACGTTGACATTCAGTGTAAAAAAAAAAAAAAAAAGGCCTCTATTTCTATCTCTCCCTCCACTTTCCTACAACCACCTATTTAAAAAAAGAAAAACAAGGTTTCTTCAAACAAAAACCATCAAACAACCATACACATAACATTTATTGCTCATTTATCCGGACAGAGGATGCCAGACTCTCGTTTTAATTCGGGACATTAAGGTCCATCCATATTCTCTCCATTCTCCCTCGCCAACCGCCAGACCATGCTTGGTTGGTCTGTAGACCCATGATGGCCAGAGCCCCTTCCGTGTGCTCACAAAAATGAGTAGCTAGTATGGTGCACGGTCCATGTGACTGGATGTTGCTGAAGACGATTATGCAAGCGAGCCCCGTTCTCCCCCATGTACATGAGGCCACACACACCACACTGAATGGCATAAACCAGATTCTTTGAGTGAAGTGAGGGTTTCCCTGCAGTCGGCCACATCGCTCTACTGTATGGATTAGACACCATGCATCTATGAACCAAATGACACGCCAGCCTTTTGGAGCCGATTTAACCCTCCCCTTCAGTTTAGCTCTTACGAGAATGTCCCCAAGACTGGGATTTTTTTCTGGGAGCTCTGATTATTCATGCCTTGAGCTGTCCAGTGTATTCCATCCGTCATAGTATGAAACTGATGTGGAGGAATACAGGGTAAGTAATTAAAATGGCTGCCTGACGTTATTATTGCGAGATTTTGCTTCAGTGAGCGAGTCCGAGAAGTGAATCTTTGCCCTTTGCGTTAGGAAACACGGACCGTGCATCCCGCACTACCATGCGCAACTGTTTAATTGAAGTTTTATATGAGTCTTGATGTTTGTTGTTCAAACCTATCGAGATCACTACCAAAACAGTCTCCTCACAGGTCAACGTCCTCTCCAGGAGCTTAAAGAAGTTATGAAAGTTTGCTCCTGGGTAGCTGTCTATATGGATGTTCTTATTGTAAAGGGCATTACTCTGTTAAAATTCGAGTCGCCCCAAATTACTATTGGCTTGTTAGCCTGAATTTTCCAATCCTGCAATTTTCTGCTCTTCCAAGCCTGTACTTCCACGCACCTAACTCGCCCCGCACCTTGGCACAGCCCCCGGTTTGTTGTTCAAAACCTCAATAACAGTTTCATAGTGGTCATGTAAAAAGTTCAAATTGTTCGCAATCCAGGAGTCTATATTTAGCGCCAGTTGCACTTTTTTTTACCTTTCTGTCGGTGCCACTGGTTTAATGAAGCCCGGAGAGCCTAATGACCTGTCGTCTCATACCCCGTGGATAAATTCCCGTTCTCAGTGCTTCATCCACCACATTCATCTGATGTACTGCCTCAATTAGCTTAAAGATATCCTTTGCACACTGCCTGTCTGAGAGGGTATGGCCCGTTTCTGTTTCTGTATTTGTTTTAGAGACGGATGATTTATACCTCTCTTTCTCTCACTGCTCACAGTGTGCTACGCTTTAATTAACATGTCTTACAAGTTTTTATTCTTTCTGTTGCCTGCTATAACTCTGTGGTTTTGAAAATGGTTTCAATTTAATTGTAACTGTTTGCACCAGTTTGAGAGTATATGTTGTGCTGTATCCTGTGTCCAATGAATGTATCTCAGATTGTTTGAAATTGGTCCCCGGGTAGCGGGTTCAGGACCAAAAAGCGACCCGCAGCAAAGTTATTGATAAGTGTCAAGTTGTGTTGTTATTCCCTTGGAAGGGAAGATGAAAAATTAATGTTAAGGTTCAAAAATTGAGGAAGGAGAGTACAAACAATCATGGTCCAGGAGGTCTTGGTCAAACAATGATTTTAATGAATACACACGCGTGGGAAGAACAACTCTGTACGCAGACAGCAATCGATCTTCGACTTAATCAAAGCATACACAGATTTTTATAGCATCTGGGCTTAAATTTAATGACGCCCCTTCA